GAGAGCCTTGGGGGGGAGGGGGCAAATAGGAGGGGAAGGGGCAAAAACAGCCACCCCGTTGCCCCATGCCAGTGGGGGGGTTCTGCCATCACCCCACAGCCTGTGGCTGGGTGACCGTGGGTGTCCCTGTGCTCTGGGATGAGCGTTTGGAGCTCATTTCTTGGCTGCTTTTTTAAGAAGCTCATTTGTGGAAAGGGAGCGGCGCAGGACTGGTGGGAATTGTCTTTGTTTTGCAGAAAGCATCGTCCTTGCTCCTCTCTCAGGGTCCCTCTACGCTCCCCTGGCCCAGTTTCCCCAAAAACTGCTTCCCTCCTTAACCTTTCCCTGGGGAATGCAAGGTGGAAAAGGCAGGGACGTGCCCGGGACATGAGCACAGACCTTTTTCTTGAGAGAAATCATCACTTTGAGCCTCATAGCTTGAGCCCAAGCAGGAGAAATTATAGCCAGGAGGGTAAATACACATGGAAATGTTCCAGCTTTGCTTGGCAGGGTCAAAGCTGGATGTTCACTGCCCAAAATGTGCTTTTTTTTCCTCTCCCTTTTTTTCTGCCTTACGTGCTTCAGCCCAGGTCTGACTCCTGAGAAGGACAGAGGCTGAGTACATCGTGGGGTCCGGGTGGGTTCCAGCAGCTGAGCTGAAAGATAAGATGGAGAATTTAGTTGGATCTTGCCTCAAAATGAAAAAGTTTCTGCTTCCCCACCTGCTTAATCAATCCTTTTAAAAATAACAACAAAAAATGCTGCATTTACTCAAGGGGAAGCCTTGCCTTGTCCTCTGGGGGGGTTTCACCTGCCCTCTCCATGGGCTGAGGTTTATTTCTGAGCATCATGTCAGGATGGGGAAAGAAAACCCACAACCCTGAATAATTTTTGGCTTTTAAGCATTTTTTCCCACCCCCCAAGATTCTTTTCTGGGAGAGTGAACAATTGGTTTGTCTTCTTGAATGTGCTTTTTTTGGGTTTGACTGGGGTGAAGTCATGTGAAGCATCCCAAAACTGTCCTGAGTGCTGGGGGGAAGGTACGTGGCTGGGGCAGCACGTGAAAGGTGCCCCCAAAAAAAGAGGCAAATATTGGAAAAAAATCTGCACTCTGTTATGAAAAGGGAGCGTGGCTCTTCTGGAACCTCCAGAAACGACCCAGCCTGCTGACTTTGAACCACTTGTGTAAAAACAGAGCTGAAAAATGTAAACTCTCCTCTGCAGAGCTGTTTAATTTCTGTGTTCCCAGCTGGAAAAAGCCCGCAGGAAAAAGTATTTATTAAAAAACTTTGAATAAAATTATTTAAAAACATACATTCCTATGGACACTTAAATCCATGAAGACCAGCATCAAGTACTTAACAGTAATTCACCATTAAATTTTTGATCATCTTTTTACAGTGAGCTCAGAACTGATGTGAGAACATGCACCCCCATCTTTACAAATGATGTGGAGGATTTAAGTGTGGAAAAACTAAGCTGAAGGGATTACTGTAATTGTATTGTAAGAATATTAAGGACATTATCTAGATTTCAGTGTTTTCAAGCCCCACGAGAAAACATCCCAGAGGAACGCCAGAAATGAAAGAGACCCCAGGATTTCACATTTACCTCAAAACTGGCACTTTTTGAGGCAAAAATAGGCACGTTGAGCACGTGAGGGACACATGAGGGGGTAACACGCTCCAGAGATGGGGCCTTGGACACCCTGAGGGGAAGCCCAACCCCAGACACAAAGACGTTGAGGACACAGAAACACATAAGCTACTCACATGCACATTTAAACATATATTTATAGCTATACCAAAGAAACGAGGGCTCCGCGGGGCTTGCAGACCCCTCAACCCACCTCAGACCCCAACCCCGCCGCCTG